ATTCTTTTGGAAATGATTGCAAGTGATATCTGATTATTCAATAAACGAGATCTAAATTTAAAGCTTGTTTCACTTGGTAACACATTCATAAGCAACAACCTCTGCAAAGCTACAGGTTTATGGATAAATGATTGAAGTCATTCATCCATACACCTGTGAATCAGAATTGCTGTCGCAAAAAGAAGAACAGTTGAATATTTTAAATATTTTTATTGTTAAATATAAAAATCAATTTATTGTATATTAGGGCAATGCATTCAGGACGTCATACAAATAAAGATGGGGGTGGGGAGTTTAAGAAAAAAAGGACAAGGAGAGGGGAGGAGTTTGTCAGAAAAGAACGCCATTTTATAATTTTTTTATTTTGGTTTTATTAACATGGAAATCTATGTATATATGTGTTTTTATAAATATAGTCTAAGAGAACATTTTTAATTTTAGTTTTCAAAGGGGTTGAAGCAATGTCAAACATTTCTGTGAGATCAAATATATAAAAATGTGGTTAAAATAGGAAGGTCAGCATTTTATGACGTCCTTTTCAAGGAAGGGGTATAAGGAAAAAGGACAACCGGTGACAAAGGTGGGGGGTAAAAATTGCCTAAAAGCTGGAGAGGTTTTTTTATGGAAAACCCCTTACTTAAAATAAAAAAAAGATTTTTATAAATAAACTTAATAAAATAATTTTATTAATAAATTTATTGTAAGGAATAACTTGAGTTGAGTATTGCAATGCTTAACTTTGAATTAAATTATTGTTGTAAAAATGCAATCTTGTTTATTTTTGCTTTCCAAATCAATATAACAAGACGAAGAAAAAAACAGTTTTTTAAGTTGCCGCATAATTTAAAAATATAACATGGGAAACTATGTAAACAAAACTTTTAATGAAGTTACTGTTCAAGAATATTTTTATTTTATATTTTTAAAGTGTGGCAGCAGTTGTCACACCTCAATATTGTCTACTGCAAATTTTAAAATTATCTTCAATTCACTTTCATTATCACGTAGGTTTTATTTTAAGAGTTTATTATATTCCAGAAACCGATTATTTTGATTATATATTATTAATTTAGTCCGTATATTCTAACTTTTTCCGTTGTTTGTTTTACTTGTTAACACTTTATCCCACTGTATAATATTTAGATAATTTGACTTTACTACTATTATAATTTATTTGTTAAAATAGTTTAAACATAAAATTACCATTTTTTTTAAACCTCTACTATAATGATTGCTCTGATGAAAAGTTTTTGGAAGTTATATTTTGCTTTAATAATGTTAGATTTTATTTTTATGCTTTTATAAGTATTTATAAAGACATCCTAAAATATTTACCAACTTGTATACATATTTATTTTTAGCTAGACTAAGAGACACTAGATGAACTGCGTAAGGGTTAATAAACTAAGTTAAATTTATAAGTACACAACGGCCTTAAAATGAATTTCATACCTGTGAACCTCTATAAGTCTGAAGTATAAGTGTGTAAGTGTGCTCTGGCATGTGAGCCAAACAGTTTTAACTTAGTTTTAATAAATTAATATAAGAAAATTAATGTAAAGTCTTCCCCAACTAAAATTTAAAGCATGTATAAATGCAAATTTTGATGACAGTATGCCTATGTTTGTCAGCAGTTGTATATACTTAACTTCTCTATCATTTTAGTACTCATTTAATTACTAGATCGTTGTTTGCACTTTACTTTTTCGTAAAATTTTCAAGTATGCATTTATGAAGATTTACCTTTAAGCCTGTGTTTGCATTTTCTTTTTGCACATTTTTGTTAGTTTAATTTATTCAGTATGAACTGTGTAATAATGTAAATAGGTTATTACTAATTTTTTTCATCTTTTCTTTATTTTTAACTTTTTAATTTTTACTCATAACTTCGTTCATTTGAAATCAACAAGATTTAGTTATAGCTATTTATATTTACAAGCAGTAGAGAATGAAATAGGTATGTTTTAAGATATAAAATCTATTTTGTATAACTTGTATAAAAATCTTGTTAAAAAGTGTATTAAAATTGCCTATTTTAATTCACTTATAAATAGTCTTAAACGTGTATAATATGTAATAAATAAAAATATTTTTAAATAATGTAACTTCAACTAAGTTTAAAAGATGATTGTACACACAGGGCATTTCTTTAGATATGCAGCACACGGGGCCAACCTAAGTGTGGCGTCCCTCACTCAAAAAATAGTAGCGCACATAGGCATTATGTAATGTACCACCATTAATTATATATTTAAATAATAATCACAATTTAATGTACCACCATTAATTATATATTTAAATAATAATCACAATTTAATGTACCACCATTAATTATATATTTAAATAATAATCACAATTTAATAAGGTTTATTTTCACTCTTTTCATGATGCAGTTCCCAGCAAACAATAGACGTCTTTTAGACCATCTAAAATTGGTCTATTTGTATCTATTGCCGATACGTATATTTTAGATATTAGAGATCAAAAAGACGTCTGATTCTAGAGATACTATTTTTGCTCTGTTTACGATGCATATTAGATGCATAAAATAGATCGTGCATAAAGAATTTTTTTTTCATCTAAACATAGATGTCTATAAGATATCTTTTATAGATTTGTTATAAAAACAAGAAAAAAAAATTTACCTAATTTTACGGAGCCATAATTATAAATGACGGCCATTTAAAAACCCTGCGGAAACTTATTTCAAAAAAAGCATGAAGACTTTAACCTATGGAAGACATCAATGATTATTTCTTTTGATAAATTTTGAATAATAAAATAACATGCTATTATAGTTCACAAAATATTTTGAAGATTTGATGCTTAGCATGTTTGCTAAAATACTTGTGATTTGAAATTTATTTTGCAGAAATATTACAAAATTAATATTTTCAAGTTGATTTTTATTTCTAGAATAAAAGATAATGTAATTAATATATATATATATATATATATATATATATATATATATATATATATATATATATGTATATATACATATATATATATATATATATATATATATATATATATATATATATATATAAGTATATATATATATATATATATATATATATATATATATATATATATATATATATATATATATATATAAGTATATATATATATATATATATATAAGTGTTTTTCAATAACACAAAAGATTGTGTTATTGGTTGTGCACTTATCGTTTTTATGCCCTTTTTGTAAAAGGGCATTAAAACGATATCTTTTTATATCCCCTTTTTGTAAAAGACATAAATGAATCTTGGTTCGAGGAACCAAGATTCATTTATGTCTTTTACAAAAAGGGCATATGAAAAGAGACGCAGTAGACGTGTCCAAAATGAATATTAAAAAATACTAGAAGTTTCATCAGTTCATATAGAAAAAAAATCGAATGTTGGAACTTCTAAAAGAAATGATTTCTTATCTTGCGAAAATCTAAAAAAATATTTGGACCAGCATGAGTCATCGATTTTGTACAATGAATACTCTTATGACCAAAAGCCTAATGAGTATAAGCATTACCTAACTTTAAAGGAGAGTTTTTCTGCATGTTTTTCTAACCAAGTAATTATGCACTAAACAAGTGGATTGACAAAGAATAGCAACAAATTCATTGTCCCAAAAAAAAACTATAATCATGCGCTGAAAAACAAACTTTTGTCAACAAAAGAATGACACAAATTTCCATTGATAAAGTGTAAGATAACAGATAGTCAGTATCTAACTTGTTTTGTATTTTTTTTAAAGGTAACTTAATTACTTTTTTGTAGCAAAATGTTTTATAATTAGATTCATTTTCATGTTGTGAAGAATACAACTTTCTTTATCAGATGAGATATATGTTAAAGAAAGCATTAAAAATAAGAATAACAAATCATACTGCTCTTCATTGCCAGAACCTCCGCCACCTATTGTGAATAAGCCCAATGCTAAAAGTATAACACAAATGTCATAACTTTTTCTTAATGGTTTATAAACTAAAATAGATTCTTGTTTAATTTGATCTGAATAATATATATCTAGCAACTAGTCTTTTTTATCTATTACTAAGATTTTCCTTTTATTTTAACTATTTGGGTGTCTTATTATATGTAATGTTGTTAAATTGGTTACACATATTTATATCATTGACAACATTCTATTGTATTAAATAATCCTTTAATCAACTTGATATGAAATTTGAAAATTGATTGAAAGCATGCTGAAATTGTTTAAATTCAGATTTTAAAAGAGTACAAAATTGGTTGAAAGATTAAATTAAGTAACAGGTATGGTTGAGGGATTATTTATAGTTCAAATTATAATTATTTCTTTTAAATAGAGTTGTTATCAGATTCAAAGATTGAAGAAGATAATTTTTCTTCACATTTTATTGATGAACAGAATAAAACCAAGTTAAGTTCACATTGTCAAAGAGTTTCAAGCTTTAATATGAGTATTTTTGGTTTTTACACCACTGAATGTTAATGTTGAGGTCTTTTTTATTAATTTGTTTTTGTTTTAAAATAATTGTTAAAGATAGGTATAAAAGAATAGAAATGGATTATTTATAATATTGTGATCCAACAAACCATGTGTGTTGCATTTTACCTTTAGTAGTTAAACAAAATTCTTTACTACCGTAACCTTTTACAGGATAAAGTTTTAGCTGATTTAAAAAGTAGGTTTTCCAAAATATTATGGAAACTTCTGCGATGGAGTGATAAAAAAACTTGCATGTATATTTGGAATTTTAGTTTGAGTTACTCAAGCATAATTTGAATTTTAAAGTTCTTATTTCATTGTTTTGGTATTTGGTTTAATGAGCTAAATATGTTAATCAATCTTTTTATTTTTGTTTGAAGAGATGCAAAATGTTATTCTCAAGGAGCTTGCAGAAATAAAAGTTCTTTTAAAAGAAGTTATAGAAATTAAGTTTCAGGCTACTGGGGTAAAGTTGCTAGAATCAGAGGACGAAGTGTTTGTGGTGACGAAGTGGTACAGAAGTTACACTGGATAATAAACTAAAAGATAAAACCGAGTATACTAATTTGGTATAATCTAATTATCTTAATTTTTAATAAATTTATTTAAATTTGGTTTATTAGTTTAGAATATAAATGAAAAGTATTTGTAAATGAACTAAAATAACTAGCTTGTGTTAGACTCAGTATGTTGTAGAGAAATTTAAGTTACACTAGTTTTTATTACATTTATTTCAGCTTGATAGTTTAAAAAAGATTGGTGGTGGAAAGCCAAGTGAACATGTTTTTTTGATCATGAAAAGGTAAATGATTATGTTTTTATTAATTTTTAGAAATATGATTAAAAGGGACCAAAAGCAATTCATTTTGACCGTTATTTGTTATGGATTTACTTTTAACATGACAATTTGATAAACTCGGGAGCTTCACTGTAGGTGTTTAAGTTTGTTTGTGTGCTAAAGTAAGTGTAATGCTTAACCTTGTATAGCATTTTATTTTCAAATTTAATGCTTTTACTTTTGATAATTTAAAAAAAAAAAATCTTTATAAATATATTTCAGTTTATTGTTAAAATATTTATCAGGTTATTTTCGAATCAGTTACAGTCCAAATTAAATCGAAAAGGAAATGGGGAAAAGATAAGCTTAGAAAATCTAGTAAATATATGGAGTGTTTTACGAGGTATAGTTTTAATAGTATTTACAAAACTGATATCTGTATTAAAAAGATATTCTTCGACTTTTTTGTTTCATGCTAGAATTTTTGTATCCATAATACAAGTTCCTTTATATATATATATATATATACATATACATATATATATATATATATATATATATATATATATATATATATATATATATATATATATACATGTATATATGTGTTTTTACAGTATTGGACAAAACATTTGCAACCAACATCGAACAATGCTAAAAAGTGCTCCTAATTTTATATGTCTTAAAAATTAAACAAACTATACTACCACAGCAAACAGTTCAGGAGTATGGAGTCATAGCATGCCATGATGTGAGCAATCAGCTGACAGGTGACAGCACACAGGCAGAATTTCGTTGACAAGTGCCATTTTGCAGCATACAAGACAAGTGCGATTTTTTTGGTTTGTTTCATTTTTTCAAGTGTGGTCCGTGTCAACGTCACGGAAGTTTTTTAATAATTAAAGGAAGTATCCAGAAGTTTCCAGAAGTATGCAGAAGCTTACAGAAGCTTCCAGCCTTGAGAAGTGTGATTATTTATTTTTATTATTTTTATGGCTTCAAGTGCAAAAATGGTTCCCGACAGTTTTGGATTGGAACTAAGAGAGAAAATTATTTGCGATTACTTAAGTGGAATGTCACAAAAAAGTATTTGTGATAAATATCGCGTGAAAAAATAGATCGTATCAAGACTATGTTCCAAATATTGCTCTACAGGGAAGTTTGCAGCAGATAACAATGGTGGAAGACCTCGTTCCATCACTCCTAGAGAGAATTCTATGATAGTCAGATCTGTCAAGAAGGAACCCTGGATATCATCAGTTGAGATACAAATGTAATTAAAGCTGCCTGTACGTCAAGCGGCCGGAAAACGCCTTGATTTACGTTACTGCCATAAGACCGTGAAGCATGGTGGAGGCAATGTAATGGTCTGGGGGTGTTTTTCTGCCAACGGTCTAAGTCCAATACATCGAATCGATGGAATAATGGACCGTTTCATGTATAAAAATATCCTGAAAGATGTTATGTTACCTCATACTGAATGGAATATACCAATAAAATGGGTTTTTCAGCAAGACAACGATCCCAAACACACTGCAAAAGTAGTTAGGCAGTGGTTTCAAGACAACCATCTATTGGTGATGGATTGGCCGCCTCAATCTCCGGATCTCAACCCTATCAAGAACCTGTGGGAGATCGTCAACCTCAGAGTTACTCATGAATGTGTTCGTAATAAGGATCAACTGTTCGAACAAATCCAAAAGGCCTAGGCAGCGATTCCACAAAGCTTCAGTGATCACCTGATCGAATCTATGCCTTAAAGATGCAAGGCTATGATCGACAACAAAAGATTCACCACAAAATATTGATAGCAAAATACATCTTGGTCAACTTTTGTGACAAAACAAGTTGCACTTGTTTTGTCCAGAAGGAAATCAACTTTTTTTAATACTTTTGATAAATTTATTAATTTTCGTCTACAAATAATGAACTTTGTGATGAATAAAATTTAAAGAACGTTGTCTCTAAACAGTTACATAGTTATTTCTCTAAATTGAGAAAATGCAACACTTTTATACAAAGAAACTAAATTAACATAATTTGGTTGCACTGGTTTTGTCCGATACTGTATGTGTGTGTGTGTATATATATATATATATATATATATATATATATATATATATATATATATATATATATATAATATTTTATAAAAATAAATTTAGATTTATAGTCTTTTAAAGTCATTTAAATGTCATTAATGTATATATTTTAGATATCGCCGACGTGGAAGAAAATGTTGCCGGCAATTCAGAAATATAGTTTCTTATGTATATTTTTGTGCAATAAATATTAAGTAATGTTTGTTAAAATGTTTCTTTACTTATTTAATTTAATCCTTTTTTATGACTAATTTAACCGCTGTAAAACCTTTGTATCAAACAAGTCCCAGCAAATAAAAAGATATCTAAAATGCATCTAAAAACTGGTCTAAAAGACGTCTAAATTCACGTCTTGAACGGGACATAAATAGATGTCTATCTTATAGATGTCTTTTAGATGCATTTTCTTCGACACAAATAAATGCTTTAGATGCATAAAAGATGTGAAATATACATTTAAAGATGTATATTAGATGTATATAAAATGCATAAAAGAGCTATTATTAGCTAAAAAATTATCTATTATCTATTTTTTAAACGCGCCTTAGACATCTATTTAAGAGACGTATTTTACATCTAATATGCATCTGTAAGATGTATATTTCATATCTTTTGAGCATCTAAAACAATTATTTGTGTCGAATAAAATGCATCTAAAAGACGTCTATAAGATAGACGTCTATTTATGTCCCGTTCTAGACCTGAATTTAGACATCTTTTAGACCAGTTTTTAGATGCATATTAGATGCATTTTATATATCTTTTTGTTTGCTGGGTTGATGCTTTTCTTAAGCAATATTTATAAATAAAAATAAATCTAGCTAAAATTATTTTTATTGATATGAAAATCTAATTTAATTATCAAATAAAATCTAATTCAATCATATTTTAGAGCAACTGACACCTAAACAAAAAAACTCTTTCTACATGAGGACATTAAAGATATCAAAGATATCATCAGTGACCTGATTGTTGGAGGTCCAATCCTTGAAAACACAATTAAAGAGAGAATTGAAAACACTAGAATTTCAAAATATACAATTAATTAAATACAAACGAGATATATGTATTAAAGAAACAAAAAAAAAAAGTAGAGTAAGTAGGGTCATTTTTTATAATCTTTTCTTTAACTTGACATGAACTCCTCCTCATCCCAATTTTATGACATCCGTTCAATGGGGTATAGGGAAAATGGACAAACGATGACAAGGGGGTGGTCCTTTATGGACGACCCTTCTCTTTATTTTTTGTTGGTATTTTTTCTAGAATACAATATGTATACACTAAAATATGTATATGTATACCCATGAATACCATATATATATTTTCTTTTTGTTTTCTTTATTAAAGTAGCTATATTTAAAACTAGTATTGCCGTGTGTTTATGTTATGAAAAGTGTTATGTTATGAAAAATAAATTAATAAAATATTTGATCTGAAATTTTTCGATTTTTAAAATTAATAAAAACGAATGATAAAATAAATATTACCTTTCATTATCGCGTAAGTTTTATTTTGTGAGTTTATTATATTCCAAAGAGCGATTATTTTGATTATATAATTGTTAATTCAGTCCGTTTATTCTAACTTTTTCCCGTTGTTTGTTTTACTTGTTTAATTTTATCCCACTATAATCCTTAGATGATATAACTTCACTGCTATTAAAATTTATTTGTTAAGTTAGTTTAAACATAAAGTTAACTTTTTTTAAAGACCTCTACTATAATGATTGCTATGACGAAGAGTTTTTGGAAGGTATATTTTGATTAAAGGATGTTAGCTTTTATTTTTATCAACTTATCTACATATTTATCTACATATAGTTAAACCAAGAGACACTGGAAGAACTGCGTAAGGGTTAATAAACTAAGTTAAATTTATAAGTACACAACTGCCTCAAAATGAATTTCATATTTGTGAACCTCTAAAAGTGTTTATGTTATGAAAAAAAAATTAATAAATTATCTGTTCTGAATTTTTTTGTTTCTTCGAATGAATAAAAATAAATGATAAAATAAGTATCAACTTTCATTATCGCGTAGGTTTTGTTTAGTGAGTTTATTATATTCCAAAAACCGATTATTTTGAATATATATTGTTATTTTAGTCCGTTTATTGTATTTTTTTCCCGTTGTTTGTTTTAGTTGTTATCGTTTTATCACACTATAATCTTTAGATGATTTGACTTAACCACTATCATAATTTATTTGTTAATTTAGTTTAAACAAAAAGTGAGCACTTTTTTAAAACCTCTACGATAATGATTGCTCTACTTAAAAGATGATTGAACACACAGGGCTTTTCTTTGGATTTGCAACGCACAGGGCCGACCTAATTGTGGCCTACCCTCATGTTATGAAAAATAAATTAACAAAATATTTGTATTGAAACTGTTTTTCAAATTTATAAAAAAGAATGATAAAATAAGTATCAGCCTTCATTATTGCGTAGGTTTTGTTTTCCGAGTTTAATATATTCCAATTCTGAGTGTAATATATTCCAATTTCTGAGTTTAATATATTCCAATATTTTTATTATATATTATTATTTTAGTCCGTTTATTGTAACTTTTCCCCGTTGTTTGTTTAACGTTTTATCACACTTATAATTTTTAGATAATTTGACTTCACAACTATTATAATTTATTTGTTAATTTAGTTTAAACATAAAATCACTACTTTTTTAAAACCTCTACTATAATGATTGCTCTGTTTAAAAGATGATTGTAGGGGAGATGGGGGCACATTGATCGCCGGGGCAGTATGATCTTTAGCTTTTACTCGTTTACTTTTGCCTTAATTTAACAGAAATTGCAATTTAATTAACCATTATACTACCCTTCATTGCTTAATCGTAATAACTTTTGATAAGATCAACTTTAGCGTTGAGAAAAATGAGAGGACTGTTTTTCATCATGAAAAGTGATTTTTAAAAGTTGTTTACAAATTTAAATAAATTTTTAATTAGATTTCCGTATGACTTTACAACCAATTTATTGTAAACTCAGATGTGTTAAGTTTATAAATTTGTTTTTTTGAGTTGATTACTGTATTTATAGAAGTTATTGGCATCACTATATCAACTGTACCTAACGGGGCACATTGATCGTTGACTATGCGGGGCTCATTGATCAGAGGATCAAAGTGCCCCATATGATTATATTATAAGACTTAATCTTTTTGTTTAAATTTTATACATTAAAACTTATGACGACTAAAAAATGTTTATATAAACTTTTAAAATTTCATTTTTAAAATGTAATAATGTTAAAAACTAATATTAATAACATTAGTTTTTAGTTTTACAT